ATAAATAACTTCATGATACATGGAAAAAATATTGACACTGTCAAAGACTTCATTTTGCTTAGATCTACCATCAAAACTTACAGAAGGAGCAATCATAAACTCATACAAGGTATCGCATTTGGCAAATTTGTTGTACAAGATCTCTATAAATATGTTCAAGATCAAAGATGTCAGTTTGAGGACTAAGTTGCCCTGACCCAAGCCATGGTATTTTCAATAGCTTCAAATGCATGTGAAAACTGGACAGTGAGTAAGGAAGACTGTAGAACTCAAGCATTTGAGATATGATGGTGTTGGGAAGAATATTAAAAGTACCCCATGGTACTTCCAAAAGAACAGAAAATCTATGGAGGAAGAAGCACAGCCAGAATGCTCCTTAGAAGCTAGGATGACCAGACTTCATCTCTTATGCTTTGGACATATTATCAGGAAGGACCAGTCCCTAGAGAAAGAAATCAAGGTAAGCAAAGTTAAAGGTCAGTGAAAAAGAGGAAGACCTCCTACCAGATGGATTGGCACAGTGGCAGCAGCAATGAGCTCATGTGTAGCACTGATTATAAGGATGGCGCAGGACCAGGAAGTGGAAATGACTTGATGGCACTTAACAATAACACTAAATATATTTGTTGTTGTTGTTGTTAACTAATGTCAACTCTAGTCTGACTCATAGATGATTGGTAGAACTTCTGAGGCTTTAAATCTTAGTGGGATCAGAAAGGTTAAAATTCAGACCTTGTGGTTCACAGTACAGTGCTTATCATATACAGTCACTGTGTGTGTGTATACATATATGTATGTACGTGTGTGTGTGTGTGTATAATTGTGGCAATGATTGTGAGGTTGGCCCAGTACCAGGCAGTACTTCATTAGGTTGTGCATAGGGTCACAGACTAACAACAGTATATGTGTGTGTGTGTGTGTGTGTGTGTGTGTGTGTGTGTGTGTGTGTGTGTATACACACATATATATAAAAGAGAGTCTTGGTGTGGTTCGAATGGCAAGGCCGGTGGTTCAAGCTCATCAGCTGCTCCTCAGAAACCCTATACAGGGTCACTGAGTCATAATGGACTAAACGGCACTTAACCACAGCAGTATGCGTGTGTGCATGTGTGTGTATAATGCTATTGTTGTTAGGAGTCCTGGTGTGGTACTATAGGATAAACACTGGTCTACAAAGTCTGTTTGAACTGCAAAGTCAGTGGTTGAAGCTCACCAGCCACTCTTCAGAAACACTATACAGGGTTACTATGCGTCAGAACCAACTTGATAGAACTTAACAAGCCATGGAGTCAGTTCCACGCAGAGTGACCCTGAACAGGGTTTCCAAGGAACTGCTGGTGGGTTTGTAATGCCAACCTTGTGGTTAGCATTCCAGTGCTTATATCAGGTTACCACAATAAGACTGCACATATAGGTAAGCCCTGGTGTGGCACTGTAGCATAAGCACTGGACTGATCCCCTCAAGGTTGGCATTAGAAATCAAAAGTTCCTTGGAAACCCTATACAGGGATCGCTATAAATTAGAATGGGCTCAATGGTCCTTTCTTAAGATTTCTCATTCTTGAATCCGGTCAGAAGAAACAGTTTGTAAATGGGTACTTTTGGCTTCAAATTGGCAACACTTTTTTTTTTTTTTTTTTGCCTTCTATTTATCTTTGCAAACCTCATGCTCATTCATACAAAAATAAACCATTCAAAGTTGCTCAACAGGGATGGCATCATCAGACCTGATATTTTCAGCTTATTTTAGAAGTTCTTTACTGTTTAGAATGAACAACTGACTTCAGTGAAATAACAAGTAAACTCATGGACACAGAAATTGGAGGATACATACTTTATAGGTAGTTAAACTATGCTGCTTATGTTCAGAGTTCATTCAGATCAACAGATATATTTGTACTGAAGCAAATTTCTCTCTGGATCCAATAGGAAGTATTTCCCATCTTGGAATTACTGTACCCAAACCCAACCCAATGACACTGAGTCAAATTCAACTCATAGTGACCCTGAAGGAACAACCAGGTTGTTGCTGTTAAGAGCCTTCAAGTCAGTTCTGACTCAGAGCTACCCTGTATAGGCTATCTGAGGAGGGACTGGTGGGTTTGACCCAGTAACCTTATAGCTATCAGTCCAGTGCTTATCCTCCAGCAGCACACCAGGACCCGAGGAACAACTGTAGGCATTCGTTATAGATTGCCTTGTGCTTCTGCCAAAAAGATGCTTATGTACTAAGCGCTTTCCCTGAGAATATGATCTTGTTTGGAAATCAGGCTTTTTAGATGGAGAAGTTATTAGTTATATTAATGATATATATGAGTAGGATGAGTCCTAAATCCTTCTGAGTGGTGTTTTATAAAATAAAAATTGAGAACAGGCACAGGGGAAAGATGCCATGTGAAGATACATCTAAAAGCTAAGGAGCATGAAGAAATTTCAGGATAGGAATCCTTGGAATGGTGCTGCGGGTTAATGCACTGGACTGCAAGGTTGATTTGAACCACAAGGTCAGTGGTTCAAACTCACCAGTTGCTCCTCAGAAACCTTATACAGGGTCACTATGAGTTGGAACTGACTCAATGGCACTTACCAATAACAACAACCAGTAACATGGTGGCACTGTGGACATAAGACTGCAAGGTCAGTGGTTCAAACAAATCCACCAACAGCTACACAGGAGAAAGATTAGGATTTCTCCTCCCATGAAGAATAACTGTTTCAGAAACCCTATAAAGATCTCTATGAATTGGAATCGACTTGATCACAGTAGGTATGTGTTTTATGAGCAGCTAAAAGAGTTTCTTCTAGACCAGGAGAGAGAGAACACTGGTCCTTATCAGCACAATAAATTTGGACACCTAGCGTTCAGATCTATGAGACAAATTTCTGTTTTTTTAAGCCAATCTTTTTTGTGTATTTTGTTATGACAGTTCCAGGAAACTAAAACAGTACTGTATAGAAGAGAATGATTGTTAGGATTCTTATCGTGCAGTCAAATTTCAGATTTAGAGCATACGATCCTATTGGTTTTAAGAAACAGAGTAGTTCATGAATTTAGGTGATTGTATTTTCACATGAATAGGAATAGAAATGCTTTTAAGGATCAGGACAGACCACTAGACCCCCCAAAAAAAACTTTATGAAAATACAAACTATAAGCAAAGAGAGAAGGAGGACTTGGTTTCTCTCATCCATCTAAACGGAAGCATATAGTGTCTTCCTAACTTAACTTTTTAAAAAAATAAACAAAAATGTATTTTAATTTGGGAAGTTTCTATTTAAAAATATTTTTAAGGCAGAAAAAGGGTAAGAAAGAACATAAGGAATTAAAACTTTTTAGTTGTTAATAAGAAAAGCATACAAGGAAATACACCACTATATAAAGCACAGTTCATTTGTTTTAAGCATAGGTAGTCAGTCTTTTACAAGAATGGCTACGAAAACATAACTCTAAAGAAACTTGAGGGTACAACAAATACATGCTACACATGGATTCTGCTCCACAAGAAAGTTAAAACTATTATAGACTCTAACTCAAAATATATGTGCCTTATAGGGTTATCTCCCTTCCAAGTAGGAGAAGGAAATATTTATTGGGAAAGAGTAATTTATAGTCTGGAGTAATAGTTCATTTCTGTGAATTAAGTTTCTAGTTAGTATTCTTCTTAATTGGTAATCTTACACCAAAAACTGAAATCAAGTGTTATAATTTCTCTAAGTCTCAGTCTGTTCATATTCTATTCAGATCCAAAAATGTTTACATGAGATTTTTTTATTTCTATGGATACAAATACATTCAGATGTACCTAGTAATGCCCATGAAGAAGCTGTATACACAGTATTTTTTTTTTTAATCTGAAACAAGATTTTTCCCTAACAGTCAATTTATGGGGGAGTTTGGGTGTGGTTCTGTAAGAGTAAGCGCTCGACCACAAAGTTAGTTTGACAACTGGTTCAAACCCACCAGTCGCTCTTTGGTACAACGTCACTCTGAGTCACAACCAACTTGACCACACTCAACAACATGTGTGTATCAAGGCATCTTTGGTGTTTCCCCTGAATTATCTTTATGATATAGTGTTGTTTTAAGAAGCAGATACAATTTATTCGTACAAATACCTACTGATGTATAAAATAGTTCCAAATATGGGCTTTGGGCATAGATTGTATTAATAAAATTCCAAAATAATTATACTTTGAAAGGAGCAGACAGCACAGACCTCTCGATAAGCCCTTGAAGGATTTATTCCTGGCTCCCTGGTAATTTCTCCAGGCCAGGTGGATGGGAGTGCGAGGGAGTAGCAAAAGGCAAAATACAAATCTTCTACTTTATCCACAACAACAAAGACAATTATTCTCAAGCAAGGTTTTCCTTGCCTTCAATATGAAACATTTCAGTCCCTTGAAACACTATATATGAAGGATATAAGAAGCAGTATGTCTAATGTTCATCTGCTAATGTCCCCAAATGTCACCAAGATAATTACTTGGAAGACATTTCTGTGATGCAGCTGGATATTGTTATAGTTAATTTCAAGCCTGTCTTTGGCAAACACTTTATTTCCACCTACTTCAAACTGTGGGTACGTAATCACTTTTTCTGGAAGAATATCCACATCCCCATAGATACCTTAGCCCTTAGTTTTTTTCCACCTTACTCTACATGCTAATATCCAATGCTAAAAATAAATTTAAAAAAGAAAAAGAAGCAAAGTATTTTTATCTTCATATTTATATAGGGCCTCTTTAGAGCTGTTCCTCAGAATAATGCACACAATTTAATAAAACATGTAATTCTTTTTTTTTTAATGTAATACATTTCGACAATCCCCAAGACTCTAGATTCACAAAATGCATGCTGTCAAAATGTTTTAACTCCATAAATTCATATTCACTCTCAGAACGCAGAATACTGGCAAAGTCATTTTTTAAAACTAGCATGTATCCAAAGAATATTATATTTACAGAAAAAGAGAGAATTTTTTTTTTTTTTCCAAACTCACATGCAAACTGGAGCTTTGCCTTCCGACTGAGAACTGTCCCGAGAAGATTGGTGGCTAGGCACTGGTACGTGCCAATGTCTTGATCTGTTCTGGGGCTACTGATTGCCAAATTTCCTCCATCCAATCTGTAGTGATAATTCATGGTAAAGTCAATATCTGTGCCATTTTGCTTCCACCTTTAAAGGAAAGAAAAATCAAATGACATTTCTAACATATAGAGTGGACAGTTGTTTGTCTTAAACAACATTCAGGTATCATTTCTACTCCATTAAATAATTTTTTTAAAAATCCAGAAAAGTAATGCTAAAATGTGGAGACAATGCTACTAGTTTTATCCAAGATAGTCATTTTCACAAACTCAGTAATATCAGCAACTAGGTTATTTGAAAGATCTCTCACTCTTTTTTGGAGACAAACTTTTATGCAAACAAATATACAGAGGCACAGCATTCTTAACATAAGAAACAAAACTTAGACATTCAGTCAGTAACATTGGCCACTCTATCCCTTCAGTAACTTTTCAGATAACACCTGAGTATACCATACCTGAACACCCACAACTGATACCACAAAATTGAATGTCAAAAATGATTCAGAGCTAGAAATCAAAGAAGGGTACATTACCAACGGCAAGAAGAAAACTTCCAAAGATTTTACAAGGCCAATTTGAGACCAATAACAAAACAATAATAAACTGACTACTTTAGAACATGATTGTGTCTGATAGTCTGTTACATGGAAATCACGCTAAAAATATTTCAACAGTACTTAAAAATGTCAAACTAAAATTATACTCTAGCAAAACAAGTGCAGTTTGAGAGGCTTTTATTTTAAGAAGCAAATTCTCTTGGCTTACCTACTTACAAACAATTCTTTATTTAGTACAAGAATTAACTTGCAGTTATACAAAAAGTCATAAATAGTTTTAGAAATGTCACCTGGCCATTTTAAGAGGAAAAAATACCCAGGAATCATTTCAAATCACCTTGCATCTCCTAACTTCCCCAAATCTTCAGACACTTTGAAATACGAATACTGCAAATTGAATGTGATACATTCCTAAGCAACTGCTGTATGCAGAGGTACACACTCATTTAGGGATGGTGGTGGTGGTGGTGTGCCATGGATTCAGTTCCGACTCACAGGGACCCTGTATAGGGTTTCTGAGGCTATAAATGTTTACCAGAGCAGAAAGCCTCATCTTTCTCCCACAGAACCACTGGTAGATGCCCAAGGTGACCTTCTGATTAGCAGCAGGCTTGTAATCACTATGTGCTGCCAGGGCTGTTTATTTAGGAATACGTTGTTGTTAAGTGTCCTTGAGTAGGTTCCTACTCATAGAGACCTTGTATGTTGCTTCTGTTGACTAGCCAATGAGCTTGAACTTGCAGTCCAGTGCATTAACTGGTAGCACCACACCAGGACTCTCATTTAGGGATATTTGTTGTTGTTGCTAAGTGCATGACCCTGTATAGGGTTTCCGAAGAATGGTTGGTGAGTTTGAACTGCAAACTTTGCAGTCTAATGCTTATCACTCCATTTTGGGATACAGATATTTAAAAACTTCAGTTAATATGATCAATTATTTGGATAAATAAATAAATAAATGGCCTGTTTTTATGAAATACTGCTAACTTCCAATCTGTGATTTGAAGGTCTACGTCAGCTTTGCTATGATTCTCCACTTCATTGTTGTGTGTTGTTGTTGTCAGGTGTCATCGAGTTGGAACCGACTCATAGCGACCCCATGCACAGCAGAACGAAACAACGTTCGATCCTGGGCCAACCTCAGTACCGCTGCCACACTTGAGTCCATCAATGATGCCACCTGGATGATCCATCTCGTTGGGGGTCTTCCTCTTTTTCTCTGACCCTCCACCCTACCCAGCATGACTTCCTTGTCCAGCGACTGTTTCCTCCGGACAATATGTCCAAAGTAGGAGAGACGAAGCTTAGCCATCCTGGCCTCCAAGGAGCACCCTGGCTGCACTTCTTCCAAAACAGATCTATTGGTTCTTTTGGCAGTCCATGGCACTTTCGGTATTCTCCTCCAACACCACAACTCAAAGGCATCAATTCTTCTACGATCTTCCTTATTCACTGTCCAGCTTTCACATCCATATGAGGCTATTGAAAACACAATGGCCTGGGTCAGGCGCACCCTAGTCCTCAAGCTGACATCTCTGCTCTTCAACACTTTAACAAGTTCCTGTGCAGCAGATTTGCCCAGTGCAATACGTCATCTGATCTCTTGACTGCTACTTCCACGAGTGTTGATAGTTGATCCAAGAAGTATGAAGTCCTTGACAACTTCAATCTTTTCTCCATTGATAAGAATGTTGTTTATTGGTCCAGTGGTGAGGATTTTTGTTTTTTTGACATTGAGATGTAATCCATATCGAAGGGTGTGCTCTTTAATCTTCATAAGTAAATGTTTCAAGTCCTCTTCACTTTCAGCAATCAAGATTGTATCATCTGCATCTTCCTCCAATCCTGATGCCACGTTTTTCTTCACAGAACCCAGCTTCTCGTATTATTTGCTCAGCATACAGGTTGAATAAGTATGGTGAAAGAATACAACCCTGTCTCACACCTTTCCAAATTTTAAAACATTCAGTGTTCCCATGTTCTGTTCGAACAACTGCTTCTTGGTCTAGGTACAGATTTCTTAGAAGTACAATTAAGTGTTCTGGAATACTCATACTTCTCAATGTTGTCCATAGCTTGTCATGATCCACACAATCAAAAGCCTTTGCGTAATCAATAAAGCACAGGTAAACATCCTTCTGATATTCTCTGCTTTCAGCCAAGATCCATCGGACATCAGCAATGATATCTCTCGTTCCACGGCCTCTTCTGAATCCAGCTTGAACCTCTGGAAATTCTCTGTCAATGTATGATTGTAGCCATTTCTGTATTACCTTTAGCAAAACTTTGCTTGCTTGAGATATCAAAGAGATTGTCCGATGATTTCCGCATTCCGTTGGGTCACCTCTCTTTGGAATGGGCATAAACATTGATCTCTTCCAATCAGTCAGCCTGACAGTTGTCTTCCACTTCATACTTACTGTTAATTGCTGTAGAGTTGGTTCTGCCTCAGTGACCCTATATAAGGTTTCAAAGGAGCATCAGATGGGTCTGAACTGCCAACCTTGTGGTTCAAACTGACATTGCAATCCAGTACATTATCCTCCAGTGCCACACCAGAATGCCACTTCATATTTGTTGTTGTTAAGTGCCATCGAGTCCGTTCCAACCCACAGTCACACTGTATAGGGTTTCTGAGGAGTGGCTGGTGAGCTTGAACCTAGCAGTTCTAATTGACTTTGCTGTCCAGTGCATTTATCCACGGCACCACACCAGAAGTCCACACTTCATGCTAAGATCCTATTAAAATTGCTTGTATTTTTTTTTTTTGGGGGGGGGGGGAACAGCTAATTGTCAGAGAGAAATGTCATTTTCTTCAGAATTGTTCCAAATGTAACTGACTTTCTTAGGAGTATTCTGAAACATCCTACAAGAAGAGTTTGGCAAATGTCTAACAAAGTAGAAAACAAAAGGATGAATTTGTGTGATCTTCTACCTTATGAAAGAGTCCGGGTATGGCATTATAGGAGAAGCCCTGGACTGCTAGCTGCAAAATCAGTGGTTCAAACCCACCAGTCACTCTTTGGAAACTCTATACAAGATTACTAAGAATTGGAATAGACTTGATGGCATTTAACAACCACCTTATAAAAGATGAGAAGTGATTGACCAAACATCAAATAAAATACAAGCTTGGAACTAACTTTTAAGTTATGTAACCAATTTCTGTGTACTTCAACTGCTATTTCATAGAAAGGAATTGAAAGACAATAGGTAAACAGATAAAAAGAGTACATGCCTGTGTTTGCCTAGCCTTTCTGACAGAGTTGAGGTGTTTTGTTTGTTTGCTTTTAAGAAGAACACATATAAACTGTTTCTAATTTTCAGTGTTGCTGTTATTAAGTACAGTAGAGTATGTTCCAATTCACAGTGACCCTGTAAAAGGTTTCTGAGGAATGACTGGTGGGTTTGAACTACTGACTTTGTGGTTAGCAATCCAGGGCTCATCCTACAGCGCCATATCAGGAGTCCATTTTTCAGTGTTACAGCAAAGGAAAAAAAGTAGAAAACTTTTCCTAGACCTGTCTCAACTCCAATATTTTCTCGTCCAGCCCTGTAATTTCATACTTTGCTTACAGGGCACGATCTTTGGACCTTCATGTTCGCTTTCGTTTTCAAAGCAAAGAATATACGACACTTAGTTTGCCAGCTCTGTTTAATTTTGGAATCAATCACTGAAATAACTGCTGTCATCATTACATGTTCCTAATTAAGGTCGGTAATTGTTTTTCAACACAAATTCAAAGTTGTTGGCTTAGCTGCAGCAAATGAATTTTTCACAGTATCCCCATAATCATTCTAATCACTATGGTACAATGATTATTAAACCACGCATATAGATCAAGGGTTCAACTCCTGGTGTGGGCTTTATCCTAATTAATATGTTTAAATAAGTGGAGAAACAGTATTAATGAATGTGAGTGATTGCCACACACATGTAACTGACAGATTTGAATACCCAGGAGTGTTTTCTTCTGATTCGTAATAGAAAGTATGCTTTAAAGGAAGGCTTTAAGCATATGAATGTCATTTTAATTCCATGAAACATAATGAATGTGAACTAGTATCTTGACCTCTTGCTGGATAATACTCTTCACTATACTTAGTTAAGCAATGTGCCAAGAATATGATGACTGGGGTCTAGGTGTGCTTATTTTCCTTCAATAATATGCATGCATTTGTGTGTTTCAGTGTTTTTTAAAATTAAGTTTTGCTACAGAATTCTATGGAGTGCTTATTAAAATTCCATGTTTATGGACCCTTCCTGGACCTCTAGTATAGACAGAAAATCTAACGTTTCAATATTCCATTGTTTTTGTTATTTTTAGCTGCTGTCAGTCAGCCCTGGATTATGGTGACCCTATGCAATATGGGATCAGGCCATTGTGAGTCATAGGAGTTTATTCGTTTGTTTTGGGAGTTAGATTACTAAACCTTTCCTAGTCTGCTTTAATCTGGAATCTCTACTGAAATTTGTTCAGCAGCGTAACAACTCTCAAGTCTTCAAAGACAGATGGATGGTGGCAAT